TGCCTTGCTGCTCATGGTGTTTTCAAGGCCATTAATGTTGAGGTGCTCATACTTTCTCTGTGTTCTGCCTGTGCTCTCTGCAGCATGCACACATACACACACTCCCTGCTCCACGCCTGCCCTCTATTTTCCAGTCAATTTGACTTGCCTGAATGGACACCTTCACATCTGTGGCATGCTTTGCTACCAGCAGCAGCTCCTCTGCTCAAGCAGGCATCCCACATTGCTGAGGGCAGTGGTAGGTAGGTGGGTAGGTGGGTGGTGCGGTCCCTGAGGAGGTTGCAGCTCTGGGTTGTGAATGTAATTGACACTCTTCTGCCGCACTCATTGCATGTGGGCACAGGATCAATCCTGGTCAAAGCCAGTATTTGCCAGCTCATGACGGTGTCTGTCCTTCTCCTGAAGCTCAAGGCCTTGTGAGCTCCTTTTTGCTATGCTCCTCGCTGCTACTGAGCCAGCCCAAAGGCTGCTTGCTGCTGGTACCTACAGAGCCTGTCCTCAGATCTATTTGACATCTACTCAATTTAGCCTCTAAAGTTAAGGAATTTTTTTTAAATCATTGTATGATGCTTAGCTTTGATGAGAATCCATAAAAAAAAGAAACTAGCAGCCACTTTCTTTGGGGAATTGAAGGATTGTCTCAGTGTTTGGAGATGCCTCTTCTACCTTTCTCATCCAACATGTCCTTCCCTCTTTCCCTTCATTTGGCCTGCTTCAGCACTTCATCATCAAGGGATGCAGCTTAAACCAGCTGCAGATTGCAAAGCTGGTGGTTCAAAATGTCTGCAGGTTGTCTGTGGCAACACTGACATGGCAGTACTGCCACCAAAGGCTGCTCTTTCCAGCAACTTGGGCTCTTCCTTTCCCACCTTCTCCAAAGCATCTCTAGACCCTCTATTGATCCTCTGCAATGTCATTGAGTGAGTAGTGACAAGCACAGTAGTGCTCTCAGAGTCCTGATCAACTCAAGAGGCAGAGTGCTCTTGAAAGTGCACTCATGAATAATATTCAGGCATATTAAAGTAATGGCTATAAGTACTATTCACTGTGTCAAGAGATGGAAAAGGCAGTTAGTAACTGAGAACTGAACTCTGATAAAAATCATGATGCTTTAACCATTGTAATAAATCTGTCAGTCTTCTCAGACAGTGAGCAGAAAATCCCTATTAAACAAGTCAGTGACAGGGAGAGTCAGCTTGCTGAATAGGCAAACCAGCCCATCCTTTGGACTGTGGTCTGAGAACAAAATAAAGCCCTGCTGATATCCATAGGATGCTGTGGAAATGCTGGGAAAAGCCTTGCTGGTCTGGCTTCCAGCACCTAAGCAATCCTGACCAAAGATCAGCAGAAACACTAATCCAATCTTGGGAAGAACAGGCACATTGTTCTGAGACTTGTAATGAACAAGCAAGTTCTGAAAAGATCAGAAAAGATTTGATTATCAACCTTTAAGGAAAGGTATTAAAGCTTGGAAAAAAAAAAAAAAAAAAAAAAAAAAAAATCCTCTTTCTTACCCCTCCCTTCTTTTAT